CGCGGCGCGGTCGACACTTGGGTCCGACATCTTGCCAAACGAGAAGAGCACCGACTTCTTCGCCTCCTCGTTGAACGAGCCGCCGACAAAGACATTGGTGCCAAACCCGACAAAGGCGGCCGTCATCGCGCAAAAGAACGCGCGCCAAATGAGCTTGGGCGAGAGGAACGACGCGCCTTCTTCAAGGGCAAAGAGAACGCCGCCGATGGGCGCTCCAAACGCGGCCGCGACGCCCGCCGCTGCACCGCACGTGACGAGGTCCCGAACGTCCTTTTCTCGAAGCAGCGTTATCTACAGACATGATGGGTTAGAGGCATCGATGCTAGACTCGATAGAGGTGTACCCGCGCCGACTGATAGCACTGGTACGTGCGCTTGGACGTCAACGTCGAGGCCACGATCGCACCACTAGGCATGATGAGGCGAAGGAAGTGGGGCGAGAGAGCGTAGGAAGTAAAGTACATGTGAATAAGCGGCCCTTCGCGGCCGACCGGTAGCCCGCCACCCACCGACATCATGATGCCCATGGTCTACAAGCAGAGAAGGGGCGTGAGCGATGGTCGTGCTCTCATAGATTTGAGGACCTTGCAGATGAGCGTCGATGGGCTCATCCACGCTTTGACGAGGACGCCATTGAGCGTGCTCTTGGTTTCAGGGATGCCCGACCCGGCGGCGGACGGCGCAAAGTACAGAATGACCGTGCTCGCAACTCCCACGAGCATCGCATTAAAGAGGACGAGGAAGACGAGCCCGGCGCCGGTAAATGTTAGCCCACTCTTTTCGTGCTCTAAGCGCATGTGCTATGAGCGCCGTGACGTCGTCGTGGTATGAGGTACCGAGGACGCCTTTCAGCTGCGTGTACTTCCAGTTGACGATCGAGCCGGTCCCGGTCGAGATGAAAATGGCAATGTAGGCCGTGATGACGCCAATGACAAAGCTGAGGCACCATTTCAGGAACGCGCCCGTCGTCTCGTGGCCAAGGAACGATGAAATGAGCGACGTGGCCGTTGTGGGCCGCGGGTACTGCTGCAGCTGGCACTCCTGGCAGTTGCCATCGCTGTAGCACGCAGGCGAGTGCAAATGGCCCGGCGAGTCGTACGGAACGAAGTCGACGCTCTCGTACTGCGGGCGCGCGGCCTCGTGCCGGCCAAGCGGAGCGTACGACGGCTTCATGGCCAAGTGCTGAAGGTACTGCTGTCGAGACGCCCAGGGATGTTGGGGATCCTTGGAACAAGAAGAACGGACGGTATAAGTTCGGTTTGTAGCTGGGTGTTTCTTATCTCGCACATCGAGTGCGAAACACATCGAGGCTAGAAACACCGCACTTGCAACCATGCAGAGGATAAAAACACGTCACCAAAGGGCCTCTACCATCGGCATACAAATAGCAAGACAGTACCGAACGCTACATTTGGGTATGTCGTGCAATCCCCGCGCACATCTGCTTCATTTGTCAGTATAACGTTGAGTGTTTCGTTTAACGTACTTTAACCACCGCGACAAGTGCGAGCAACGGGTTTCAACGCGGTCCCTCCAGTCAAGGCTGCGGACCTAACCGTTGTTGTTGAAGTGAGTCTATTTAGATATAATTTACACTGCACTGGATATGGTGGTGGACTATCGATTCCAAGGTGCTACGATGAGCCGGCCGCCGAGAGGCTTAGCCGAGCGGGAGACGTGGCGTGTAAACGGCACATGCCGGAACAAAGTTGTCGCGTAGCCATGCGTCGTGCCGCAGGGCGGCCATCATTTGGAAGAGGCACAATGCTTGAGTGTGGGGGGCCGCTTGAGCCGAGCGGTATGATTCCTGCTTCTGCCTCCCGAGGTCGCCGGTTCGATTCCCGATGCGCCGATTTTTCTATCCGGACTCCCCCCCATCCGGACACGAATGTCACTGAAGACGGTCACCATAATAAGGCCACGCTTGGCAAGTGCCACAAGTAACACATGGAAGAAGCAAGATGAAAAACGGCATATGCCGGTAACTCGTGCCTACCGGATA